TGAGAAGCTGGACTATATGAAGAAAAACGTGGTATCAGGATTGGAGGAAGAATCATTAACAACCCGAGGTATGCAGATAACAACCTTGCTTGCTAAAAATGAAGATGATTTGAAGTACTTACTGATGAAGATCAAAGGCTGCAGTCTTCAGTATGAGTTACACTTCAACATAAAGAAAATAAAATCCTCACAACTGGATCAATAAGCAACACGACAATAAAAGGAGAAAAGATAAAGAAGATTGAAGTAGTCAGGGATTTCATTTTACTTGGATCCACAATCAACACCCATGGAAGCAGCAGTCAAGAAATCAGACATCATATTGCACTGGGAAAATCTGCTGCAAAAGACCTCTTTAAAGTGTTAAGGAGCAAAGATGTTACTTTCAAGACTAAGGCACACCTAATTCAATCTATGGTATTTTCTGTTGACTCATATGGATGTGAAAGCTGGACAATGAATAAGGAAGACTGAAGAAGACATGATGCCTTTGAATTGTGGCATTGGCAAAGAATACTTAAAATACCATGAACTGTCAAAAGAATGAATAAATTTGTCCTGGACTAAGTAAAGCCAGAGTACTCCTTAGAAGTGAGAATGGCCAGACTTCGTCTCACCTACTTTGGTCATGTTGGCAGAAGGGCAGTCCCTGGAGAAGGATATCATATTTGGTAAAGTAGTGGGTCAGCAAAAAAGGGGAAGGCCCTCAATAAGATAGATTGACCCAGTGGCTGCAACGATGGGCTCAAGAATAGCAAAGATTGTGAGGATGGTACAGAACCAGACAGTGTTTTATTCTATTTCACACAGGGTTGCAGTAAGTTGGAGCTAACTCAGTAGCACCTAGCAACAACAAAAGCATGGTATTTATATGAAAGCCTTGCTGTGAGGTTTGGGGTTCAGAAGAACTCCAGGGTAGGATGAGGGGAGGGGCATTCCAGGAGCTGGCAGCCTTGTAATTTCTAACCTGAAAACTTCTGACCTAGAATGTTCTTCTTCTAGAGGTTATGGTGGTCTGAAGCTTTGACCATTCGGACAGGATTGACCCTTTGTTACAGTCGCTATAGTAAAGGACTC